GGTCGGGCTTCACCTTCCCCTAACAGAAACCCTAAATGCTTTTCGCAAAGTCCAATAAAGACATTCCCACGGCTTCTCCCGGTTCTAGTTGCTGACAGAGGGTTCCCGAGCACACAGCCGCTTCTCTAGAGCCGGGTCTCGGAATTCTGAAATTGACCGGCCACGAAAGTTGGAGCCGATTCTACCGTGGCAAAGCGAGGGCCCAGAAGCAGGGTAACAAAATGTGAATCCCAGGCTGGAATCAGGGTTCCATGGTTTTCTGATTTAGGAATTCCTTGAATCTAAAAATATTAAATCCGCTTCTCTGAAAAACTAAGGCCCTGCTATGCCGAATTCTTGGGATCTTGGTGGCCTCTGACAGCCGCCAAGGCCAGAGCAGGAAACCTCGAGTTGCTGTCCACTTGGCCAAGGATGCAGGTCTAGGGTAATGACAAACGCTATGGGTACCAGGGTAGCACAGGAGACGGACTTGCTGTCCCCCTCCCCTTCCCCAAGCTGCTTTGGGACTCTCCATCTCTGCCAAAGAAAGGAAAAGTGGTGGGCTGAGGTACGGAGCCGCGGCTGCCTGAACGGTAGGCAGTGGAGGCTGTATTTGTTGACCTCCCGGAGCCAGACTCGGACGCTCTTTTCCCAGAAAAGCAGCTGCTACAAAGAGGAGGCTGGGGTGCAGGAAAAGCTGACCCTCTACTCCCCAGTCGTGTGGCCAGCCACGGCCACTTTCCTAGCCCTCTCTTTCCCTCAGCTACTCAGGAACCAAACATTTTTTGCTGGGCTCAGTAGAGCAATGGGCCCTACCAGCCGCTGACTGAGCAGCCCACAGCACAGAGACCAGTTCCTCACTCCCGCTGGTGTGCCACTAGCAGCCGTCCAGCCGAGCTCACCCCACATCTCCCACCAGGACAGACTGGGGAGCCCTGAATGGCAGGAATCCTCAGGCTGGGGTCCTGGGAAGCCTAAAGGACCAGTGAGTTCGTTCCCAACCCCTGCCTGAGCACCCCTCTCCCCCTCACCCAATAATTGCTTGTGTTCAAAGAAACAAGAGCTTTTATTGGGGAGGGGGTGTTAAGTTAGGCAGAAGGAGGTAGGTGGTCTCAACTGCACTCCCAAAACTGGGTTTTCTAGTTTGAACTTCCCCACAGCCTAAGAGGCTTAGGGCTGGAATGTCCCAGAGAGCCATGGATGGCCCTGGGGGCAGGCCATGGCACATTCCTTCCCTTTTCCTAAAATCCCTTGATTCTGGGGGGCAAGGATTAGGGCAGGGTACCCCATGGGTGGGTGGAAGGATGCCCCCCCGCCATGAGGGCCCTTCAACCACCCTTCCCAAATTAAATTACTGGACCATTCTGGGGCACAGAGTCTGTTTTGAGTGATCCCAGCCTCAGAAAGGGTCCCTGTGGCAACTCTTTCAGCCTTCACCACAGCTCAGGCTCCTCTACTCAGCCAGGACCCCAAGCCCCAAATTTCCTGAAAGTCACAGAATCGTTGCTGACTCCCATGTGGCCTGGGAGGGATGGGGAATTAGGGCAAATGGTTCCAGCTCCAGTAACCCCCTTTCCCTCTTACCCTCATATCTCATCCTTAAGTGACCTGGCTACTGAAGTAGCAGGCAGAGATTGCTGTGTCCCATGTCAGACATGGGAGCTGAAACACAGGGCAGGGGAAGCCTTGCCCAAGGTCACACAGCCAAGTCAGGGAAACATTGAACCTCTCCTCTTGCTGCCTCCTGCCCTGTGAATGTGTTTGTGTGTGACACGTGTTTGAGAATGCAAGAAGCCCCCACCCTGATGAAGTGTAGTCATCTGGAGGTTGTGGCTGGGGGAGAGCAAAGAGACAGCACTGAGTACCCAGGTCCTTCTCCAGAGAACACCCAGGACCAAGCCATAGCCCCCTCTCTCCTCCATAGCTGCCTTGCCTCCTGCTCATTCAATGCTGCCCAGGCCCAGCAGAACGGACAACCCGGGGATCCCCACTAGCTTCATCCCCTCTCTGGGACTCCGGGCCCCTGAGAACACAAGGCTTTACCCAAAAGGGTCTGAGGGCCTTTCCATCCACACAGCAGGCATCAAGATTTCCAGATAAAGGGACTGTTGTGCCTGCCTGGAGCACTGCCAGAGGCCTGAGCCCAGAGGGGCACACAGCAGGTGCTCGATAACTGCATTAAATACATGAACAGTGAGGGACACATCCCCTTAGACTGCATAGCTGGAGCTGCAGAGTCACAGAACAGTCCCAGCCCCCATTCATGGACAGCTGAAGACTGTTTTTGCCTGGGGGGGGTTGAGGTGGGGAAGAGTAGGGAGCTTCAACTCCAGGCCTCTGGATGCCCATAAGCACACCATTCTTTTCCATGGCCCTGCCCAGAGGTACATTGTGCTCCCCACCTTGGTGGGCTTAGAACACACCTCCTACCCTGTACTAGCCAGCTTTTTTTGCATGCTGAGACCCAGAGGCCTGGCTGTGTGTACACATACATGCCTGGGTGCAGTGATTATGTATGTGCCTGTCAACATGGCACACCTGTGTAGTGTGCAGTTTGTAGGTGTGCATGCATGCTCATGTGCCCTGTCTGTACCCAGCCAGGCTAAGTCGCACACTGCCGGGGTAAGGCAGCTACATGGAGGATAGTGTGTGAAGAGGCACTCCGTGGCGTGCTGCACCACCTAGATACCTATTTGAAAGCTGCTGCAGGAGACTTGGCCAAGAAATGTGGCAAAAGATGGGACTGAGGGCAAATGCTGGGCAATCATACTTGCCCATGTTCCCCTGCCCCATAACCAAGACTAATTTCCTCTCAGGGGTCTCTGAACTTAGAGAAACTTCCCTTGAGGAGGAAACAGCAAGAGGTGCTGAGTCTCCATAACCCAAATTCAGGAAGCATCCTCCTTCTGGTCTCAGCTTCAGAGCCTGCCCTCTGTGGTTACAGGCACCCAGTGAGAATGGGCCGGGACCTAAAGAGCTATGCCCTCTCCCCATGGCCCAGAGCTGGGGGCCTTGGGCTAAGCCCAAGGGAGTAGGAGGCAGGCCTGGTTCCACTCTGCACCCACCCCTGCCCTGCAGTCCTCACCAAGGAGCTCAGCCTAGGGCCTGGTTCCGTCCCTCCAGGAGGGCAGGGTAAAGGCTCAAAGGCAGCGCCTTCGGAGCGTCCCAGACGCTGACAGCCTGCGAAGGCAGTCCCACAGAGACCCCCAGGAGGAGAGGAGGATACACTAGGCTGGGTGAGGGCGCTGGGCCTCGTCACTGTCCTGCCGACAGGGGCTCCCTTAGGTTGCTGTGTCTGGCGGAGCTGGAAAGCAGGTGAGGGGCAGAGGGTAGCCTGGGGTCTGGCTGTGTCCCAACGAGCAGGTCAGGGCCGTGTCCTATCGCCCCATGTTGTCTGTTTGCTCAAGACGCTGAGGTCTCCGGGCCAGTTAACAATTGTTGAGCAAAATCCTTCGACAAACTTCACTGAAGCTGGAGGATTTTCAAGGAGGGGATCATTCTTGGGGGGTGGGGAGAATAACATCTTTGTGCCCAGTGAGGGTGCTGCCACTTAGCTCCCACTGTGTGGGAGAAGCTCAGAAGACCGAAGACTCTCTAGACTGCTGGGCTGGGGTTGGGAGACCGAAGTCACCTGGCAGCCCAGGAAAGCCAGAGTGTGGGCCCCAGGCTGTCAAAGCTACCCTGCAGGGGGCAGAGACAGACCCTGTGCCTGCGGGGGCCTGGCCGATTTGGCTAGGCCGTGGAAGGTGCAAAGCAAGGGGAGAGGCAGGCTCTGCAGAAGGGGCTGTGGGGCCTGTCGGTACTCTTGGGGTCTCCCACTGCACTCGCCAGCGGCCTGGAGCCAACAGAAACGTTTCGTCTGATTAGAAGCCATCATTTCTATCCCAATCCCGGAAAATTGACTGCGGTGCAGAGGAGGAGGCCTGAGAAGCAGCCTTCGGGGAGAGCGTCCAGGCTAATTAGGAGGCAGCATCCGGGGGCCCATTAGAGAGCAGGCTGCTGTCACTCAGCCGGGCTCAGGTCCGGGGAGAAGAGGCCGGGGGAGGAGGGGCGGGCGGCCCCTCGACGAGGACACCGTTAGGAGCTGCCGGAACGGGCCCGGGCTCTGCCCCCACCCTGGCGCTGGCTCACAGGCGCCGGCTTGGTGTGATCCTGCTCCGCGAACATTCACTCATTCTGGGGTTGTTCTCGCTGGGGCTGGGAATTTTGAGGCAGCCCATACAGGAGCTGATTCTGAGCAAAACAAGCCATTTGGGGCCTGAGGTGGGCACGAGCCGAGCGGGGCTTGCAGGCTAGATGCGTTTCTTTTGTGCGGCCGAGAGAGAACTCGGTGTGTCACCGGGGAAGGAGGGAGAGGTGCGGCGAGGCCGCGGGGGGCGGGGAGGCGGCGGGAAGGTGCCTGCAGAGTGGGAGGGCGCGGGTGAGGCAGAGAGGGAGGGCGGCAGCGAGGGCGCGGCGGCGCGGGCGGCTCGGAGCTGGATTCCGCCCGCGCTCCCTCTCTCGCTCGCTCGCTCGCTCGCTCCCTCCCTCCCTAGCCCCCTCCCACCCGGGTCCACCCCACCCACCACCCCTGGCGCAGGGACTGCTGGAACCTGGCCGTGAGTGCTGTCGCTTTAAGACAGACTCTGCCGGCGCCGTCCGGAGCCTTAGAAACCGGCCCCGGATCGGGATCGGGAGCCGGAGCCGGAGCCGGGGCCGGGCGGGCGGCTGAGACTCGAGCGGCGGGAGCGCAGCACGGAGCCGGGCGCCCGGTCGCGAGAAACTGCCACCGCCGCCCGCCTGGCCCCGCAGTCCCGGGCGG